ACTGAATTAAAGGTCAAAGTATTGCTATAACGATAGCAGCGGCTGCAGCAATGCAACGCTGTAGTAACTAAATAGCAATACAATCACGCGATTCATATCCCCCTTCTCCTTCCTCCCCCTTCCCCTTCTCTTGAATAGCCCTTAGCTATACGTATTAACTTACATTAATCTGTATTATTTGTATTGACTTGTATTAATCCGTATTAACTTGCATTTCACATTTATTAATCGATTTACTAATCGATTTACTAATCGATTTACTAATCGAAGTAACAATATAATACGTCAGTTATTTGTACTTTCCCCCCTCCCTCCTTATTGCAATTGATAAGACTTTAAAGAATTAATCAATTTGCGACCGACAAATCAGCGATTATAAATTAAAGTTAATGTTTCGTATATCGTAAAGTATAATTAAAATAAAAAACCTTAAAAGAAGAATAATTATCGGTTCGTTACTTACTGAATTAAAGGTCAAAGTATTGCTATAACGATAGTAGCGGCTGCGGCAGTGCAGCGCTGTAATTGTTGGATTGCTTCTAAGCGATTAGGAATATATTCGTAACTTCGTAACGGTCGTCAAAGTACTTGCAATTGCAAAACACTCGGTTGATAAGGTATCTGAATTCTGTCTGCTCTCTAATGCTCAAGGGAGCTGATTCCTTCTATATGATTAAAAGGAATCACGTGCACTAGCTAACTAATAAGCTTACTTATCAAGTTAAGGGTCCCTTAACTGCTGACATGCTAAGCGAAGCATGCCAAGTGGCCCGTAAACCATGGTTCACGGGTGACCTTCCCTAACTACTACTACTACTACTACTACTAGCTAGCTAAGGTCGATATAGAGATACCGACACCGGCAACTCTCTCTTTAGCAAGCAGTGCCTTGCCAACTACCATATCGACTGAAAAAGGAAAGTAATCAAACAAAGGAAAAACAATCTCATCCCTCCCTCTCTTACAGCGGCCTTTCTACCCATCCATCTACTTACACCTTCAAGGTATTAGTCAAAACTAACTCTTGCAAAGAGGTATTAGCCCCGACTTTAGTTATAGCGTCAGCAAGGTTGGATTTTCTTCCGATCTAACGTACCTTAAAAAGCTCTCGCCTTTCGTATGACTCTCGAATAGCTATAATGTCGATTATTAAGCGCTTTTCCTTAATAGTCCCCAACTTTACTATGCACTCGTAAAGCGAATAAAAGTTAATGCACACGACTACGAAGAAGTTAAGAATTCTTAGCTAAGCCGTAATTTAAGCAAAAGTAATCGATATAGCAATAGCCATATCGATACTTAAGGATATAGCGTATAGCTTAAAAGCTAGTACTACCCTTATTAGGCTGCTCCATGGGGCCCCATGGGGCCCCACGGAGTTTTGGGTCCTCCCCACGGGGGAACCCACGGGGGGTACAAAATTCTGCCCCTCCCCATAGGGAAACCCTATAGGGCGTGAGGTTACTCTATAAGGTTTATATACATAAAAATATGCATATGCATAATTACTAATCAGGTTTACTAATCACATTTACTAATCACATTTACTAATCACATTTACTAATCACATTTACTAATCACATTTACTAATCACATTTACTAATTAGAGACTCAAAGTATTAGTCAAATTTACTAGTTACAAAGGCTTAAGGGTTGGTAAAGACTCGTTCTTTAGCTTAAGTCTACTAGTTACAAAGAGTTGATAAAGACCCGTCCTTTTGCAGTTACGTAGAATACGTTCAACTCGGTCTCCGCCTTTGGCCTAAGCTCTTGCTTATAAGCATAGTTCAGATAAATCTCGTCTGACTTAAGTAGCTCTCTTAGCTTTTAGCACTTATTGCTCTACTTAAACTCATTTTCATCCGAGAACTTAAAGGTAAAGCGTTTGTATGCTAAAGTGCTATCGATAGTGAAAGGGTATAGCATCAATAGCTCTTTCAAGATGCTTTAAGCTTCGGCATAATCGCTATCGAAAAGCTTAAGAGTAAGATCACTTAAGATCAATCGAACCTTAACATCTTTATAAGTGAATTGCTTTCTAATTGAGTTAAGGAAAGAGACAAAGTAATCGAAGAGACAAAGGACTTAAGCGCTCTCTTTTTAAATAAAAAATCAATCAGTGATCATAGAATATAAATGTTATTATTAACTTTGTTAGCACCGTAGTGCTTGATGCCGAACTCGTCGACAAAACCTTTGCGACTTTTCTATTCGTAATCGAGGCCGATTAGTCTTAAAAACAAAGCGGTATCTTCTCCGTCATAGCAAGTAAATATTAAATTAACAACGTTACTATCAGCATAAACGATTACGAAATCCTTGTAGCGACTAAGTATCTCGTTGATTAGCTTGTTGCTACCGGTGCTAAAAGGGTTGACTTCGACTATAGCGTTATAAAGGAAGGGAATCGATATTGCT